TGGGAGTAGGCAGCAGACACCTGGGCAGGGTGCAGATGGCTGCCCAGATCTTGGTCTTTGGATTTAGAACTTCACTTGGGCTGCTCGAATAAACCACTCACTGACAGTTTCTGTGCACTTCAATGGGCTTTAAGTAGGGCTAGTCTCTCTGGAGGCAATTTGATGGTTTTTAAGTCCTCCCTTGAGGAACACTAAATTGGAAGCTACAAGTGACCAGCTCCTGGATTGACTTGTGACCTAATTGCTAAAGAGCTTTGCTTCCATCAGCAGGGCCGGTGCCTTCAGCTGTGTGGGATCAGTCTGGTGCACTCTGCTGTGGGGCTGCCCAAAAGCAGCCACTCACTGTGAGCTGCTCAGAAGAGACTGGGGCCACTCGTTTCCCTTTTTTGCCAGATGAGATGGAGACTCTTCCTGCTGATCTGGGTGGCAGGTGAATGACATCTCAAGCTGATGGCTGCTTCTGCAATGCATCCTGCAGGAGACAGCTGCTATGAACCTAATTTTGCTTTGAATATTACCTGGCTTAGTTTTACTGTAGCCCAAAGCACATTATCAGTGGGATTTTGATCTGCTCAGCAGATACTAAGCAGGCCTGAACTCCAACTCCACTTCTCGGGATGAAAAAACAGCAATTATTTTTACCATTTAGGGGTACCATTCATTCTGGTACCCCTAAAAGAGTTAGATTAGGGAAAACACAGCTAGTGTATTTCTTAGCTAAACAATAAAAAGTAAACCATACAGCTCCTTTTTGAAGTGCTGGGCAGTAAGAATGTTTCAGAAAGAATTGCATAGAGGTGGTTCTGCTGGACAATGAACTGTGAAGGGGTAATACCCTTCAATTAGCACTACTCTATATGCTGGCAACACTTCTATCAAAGAGGCAAAAGAAAAACTACAATCATGGTCAGAATACTGAAATTAAAGAGACTGTTACCAATCTCTCCTCCCAGGGAAAAGCAACTATGGGATCAATGTACCTTGTTTCTCTTAATCCAATAACTGAATAATTTAATTAATAGCTGAATTTAATCTATGTTGAGGTGACCTCTGCCTGCTTTCATTTCCAGGGTAGCCCTCCCCATCTGGCAGTGAATGCTGTTTGCAGAGACAATAGCTGTGTTACAGCCCAGCAAGAGTGATGTGAGCACCAGCCAGACTAGCAGGAGCAGCGTGTGTTGTTAGCAGGGGCAGGGGCAGGAGGCCATGGAGGTGTTCATGCACTACAAGATGCCCTTGAGCTCCAGCAGCCCCTTCCCTTTGTGTACAGGGACTGTGTATTTTGTTTCCAAGGGAATTTTATGAGAACTACTTCAGTATGGGTTTGGCATTTAAGAGGACAGGCACTTGAGGGATGGAATAAATGTCAAGACCACTGCTCCTGGATAAGAGTATAGGTGTCAAGCATACCCTGAGCAAGCAGAATTGGACAGAAGAGCCATTGAGGCAAGAGCTTGCACAGGAGTTTGGCAGGAGTGCTCAGGGCAGGCTGAGCTGCTCCGTTCACAGCTCAGCACTGGGCAGGCTGCAGCCTCCATCCTGTCCTGGGATTTCCCACAGCACCATTGTGCTGGACAATGACACAGAACTGGTATTCCATATCATTATCTGGGAAAACTATCCTTGCACCAAATAAGCTGTTTGCCAACATAGAGTGAATTACAGGGTGCTGCCAAAGTGACTGTAGTGCCCTTACTAACACCCACCCCCCAATGGACGGGCAAAAGAGCACTTAAATAGCAGAACATGGGCCTGTTTATTGTAGCATTACCTAAAAGTCTCAGGCTGCCTTCACAGACAAGGCATTTTCTAGGTGAAATAACCACTTTGGCTTCTGATCGATATTAAAACCCATTTGAAGAGCCACATGGTCCCCATGCCATCAGACACTGTCATTCCCCATGCCACCCAGCCCCAACTTGTGCTGCATTTGCACCCTTCAGCCCCAGGGAAGCCGGTGAGTGCCTCGAGGGTGGCTTGAATTGACCAAGTGGAACCTGGAGAGCACAAGCATTGGGCCAGGTGTGTGGGATCACGTGTGTGCTCACAGGGACACAGTCCTGCAGGTGATTCTCACTGCCTGCAGGAAAGGCCCTTCCCTTGCTCAGGAACAGTGGCTTGAGGTAGGCGGTGGATGGCAGTGCTGCCAAACTCCTGTTTACCGAGGCGCTGAGGACACAACAGCTTCCTGGCAGGCAAGAATGGCAACAAGGCTGCCAGCAAGGTGCTGGAGTTACTTCAGGAGCAGGCAGCGAGTGTCCACAGCTCCTTGAGAAGAACCTGGTGCTGAAATGGCGCATGTCCCTCCACACCCCAAAACTGCTGCCCTTCAAGCGATAGGATCAGCCCCAATGGTGTGTTTTGCCTGTACTTGAGCATGGGGGGCAGATCCCTGCAGAGTCAGGTGAGTCAGGCTGTGGGACTGTCAGGTTTATCACTGGGTGCTGGAATGCTGCTTCCAGGTAAGAGATCCTATCTGGTGGGACCTGGTGTGTGCCTACACACCTAACTAGATAGCAGAGTCCTGCACCATTAGTCACCACCGAGCCAGCCTTAACCCTTTGCTGTCCCTCCCCAAGTGCTCCTCACAGACGGAAGCACAGCCACCCAAATGGACCAGTGTGCAGCATCCTGCTTGGCTAGGAGCTGTCATCTGCTTGGCCTTAGGAGTATCAAAGGGCACCTCTTCAGGGCCTGATAGCAGCACACAGCAAGGGACACGTACTGTGCAAACTGCAGAACGCCAATAAAAGTTGATAGTTAACCCTCTTTTAGCAGTGAGGTATGACCTTGGCCCATCAGGGAACACCCTGTCAACACAGTCATGGGCATTGCCAGCACGGCTGCCCCCGAGCACAGAGCCTAGCTCAGGGTAGAGCCTGGCACCGAGGGCACAGATGTGTGGCATCCTCTGTGCCAAAGGCAGCGCTGCGTGGGGTTCATGCACATGGAACATGCTATTCCTGTGCCACGCAAGTGCAGTTGCCTCACCAGTTCCCCACGATCCTCAGCGATAAGAGCCCTGTTTGGCCCTCCAGCACACACCTCCCCCTCCCCCAGCAGGTAAACTTTTAAGGTAATAAACACTCTGACAGAAGCAGAAGTAAAGAAAACAACACACACTATTTTTTATCCTCATAAATAACTAATCTTGATACTTCTCTTTGAATAAAATTTCTTCAGCTTTTCACATAATATAGTACAGTAATTTAAGCAACATTGAACAGCATCAGTAACGGAAGAGGCAAAACCCAACATGTAAATTGGCTACAGCAGACAGGACACACAGCAACGGCTCCTTACCCCCTCCTGCCACTTGTTGCTGAGAAGCCAGGCTCAAATACGAGTTGATTGTATTACCCTACCATCACATCAAAGCTGAAAATTCTTTTGCGTTTTTCAATAGGCAACGGTTTGTAGCTAATCTTGGATATCTTTACACAGTCAGTTGCACTTTGGAAAAAACAAAAACAGCAAAATACCACCTTTGACATGGTTTTGTTCATTGTATTGCATGATGCGTGTTTAGCTGTATCTACAAAAGGCACTATAGAAAGAGAGGAGTCCAGCAAGGTGTGGACTGGAGGAGGCTAGAATAATTTAATGCCCTGGATTACAGCACAGACTACCCACAGTGTCCCTGCACCTGACCTGCCTCATTGCTGAGAACACACCTGTCCCTAACCTGTATCAAAGGTCACTACAACTCCTTTATGTACAAATTAGGCTATAATACAACTATTTACAGTATGTAACACAATATGGTGCAGTTCTGTCCACAATAAAGTACTCCAACCTGCTGGAGGGGGTGAGCCCTATTGCAAGAGTGTGGATGGGTGCAGCTGAACAGCCCCTGGTGAGCCCTCCATCCTTGCGCCTCTATCTCCTCTATCTAGGACTCCCCAGAGACACTCATGCAGTACCTTTATCCAGAGATGTGCCACTCGAGAGTTCCCTCGCTTCCCAGGTTTTGGTTTTAAAATGAGGTGGAAACCTTCTTGACTGAAGTGGTCCGAAGTTGTTAAGATCAACCTCAGATCCTTGCAGTCCTGCAGGAGCAAAGCCAGCAGTTGTTCTCCAGTGCTTGAACAGCTGGGTCACAGTGCCATGCTTGATGAAGGGCAAAAAGGACTCCAGTAATGGCTGGATAGTTACATACATCACCACTGCTTAGGGCAGGCAGAATAAAACTCCTTAATACTCAGGTGCTTTTACAAGTGACCAGAGGCAGAGAGCCTCATCCTGCGCCACAGCTGGAGCCCCTTGCCCTGGCTGCATTTAGTGACTTTGACAACAGCCCCCCCCCCCCCCCCCCCCATTATTCTACTTACTGAAACTCAGCTGTCACCATTGCTTAATGCCAGGCAATGGTTTTGTCAGTGCTCAGCTGCTGTCTGATCCAGGGAAGTGAAAAAGGCTTGGGAAGTTGGAGGAAAAGAGGTGTGAGTTCACAGCTAAGTTTTCCTAAATTAACTGCTCCATCTCAAACCTGGTACTCTCTCAGCAGAGGCACAGCTTTGAAAAAAGCAGCAACAAGTATTGAAGCCGACTGACTGGAAAACCCAGCTGCTGCTCTGGAGAGACAGCCTGCCACCTGGCTGGGACACCCCCGTGCAGCCACCGCTCACTGCAGGGGTGCAACCACCCTCTTAGGGTTGGTTGTGCTGCACTCAGCTGCTGTGCCACATGCCACAGCTGGCGGGCAGGACACAGGGCAGCTCAGGAGAGCCCGCTCTGGGGGCCAGGACTCCTTGCAAACCCGTGCTGGGCCGGCAGGCTCCCCACCCACACGGCCCCTGGTGCAGCCCCCGGGCCGAGCGGCTCCATGGGCAGTGCAGCTGGCTCCTGCCCGGTCCTGAGCCCCTGACTGAAGCGAGCTGGATGTGCTTGCCCAGGGCAGAAGGGACCGCAGGGGATCACCTGGGCCCTGTCTGCACTGCAGACAGCGGGACCCTGTCCCTGTGGCAGATCCTCTCCACGGCCCCTTCCTCCTGCACTGCCACCACCCATGAAGCCCCCAGCCCGCACAGCTCCTCCCCTGCTCATTGTGCTGCTGTGAGCAGGGCATGCGGCTGCCTCACACCAGGGCCCCCAGGCTTCTCCTCAATATGCAGCTGTGCCTGGGGGCTCTGGGGGCACTGAGGGCAGGCTCCTGCTCTGCCCAGGGCACCCAGAGAAGCAGCACCCCCCCTGCCACCTCCCCCTGACCACTCTCTGGGCTTTAGTGAGGGGCTCAGCGGCAGTGCCAGCCCCCACCTGGAGTTGGAGGCCACCATCTGCCCTGCCTGCTACAGCTCTGCCTTTCACCCCAGCACCAGCAAGACCTGCCCAGAGGCTCACTGTGGAACACAAATCAGTGCTTGAGAGCCTGCTTCCACCCGACGGGCCCACAGGCAGCAGCATCCCAGAACTCCAACCAGGATGTGGGACTCCAAATGGGGCATACATGGCAGTGCCAGGCTCCAGACCTCCCCATCCCTCTGCCCCGACATAGTCGGCAGCACCTCCTCCTGCCCTGCCTGGGGCTGCAGCTGCTCTGTGCCCATGGTCCCAGGCAGCACCACCACAGTGGGGATGAAGATGCCAGGGATAGCCCAGCTGTCACCCTCTCTTCTGTGGCCCAGGGTCTTCGCAACCCTCTCCTCCCTGTGGCTGGGGTCACCAAAGCTCCCTCTGGTCACACATGGGACAGTGGGACCTGCTTGTGGTAGGAGGCCATACTGGGCAGTACCGTCCTGCCCACCAGTGCTGGGCTGGCCTCACCGTACACAGAGGCACCCGCAGGCTTCCTGGCCCGGCAGCAGCGGGTGGTGAAGCGCCTCCAGGACTCGAGTGTCTTGCCAGACCAGATCCAAACGCCGGAGGTGATCCCCACCACAAGGCACATGAAGTACTTAAGCATGAAGACAGCATAGTCAGGCTTGGGGCGGTGAGGGTCCCCCAGACAGGAGCAGTTCTGTGCCTGCTCCCAGGCCTCTCGGTTGTGCTGCTCATAGATGTAGCAGGCAATGACGATGGTGGCAGGCACAGTGTAAAGCACGGTGAAGATGCCGATGCGGATCATCAGCTTCTCCAGCTTGTCAGTTTTGGTGCCGCCCTGCTTGATCACACTGCGGATGCGAAAGAGCGAGACGAAGCCAGCCAGCAGGAAGAGGCTGCCGGTGAAGAGATAAACTACAAGTGGTGCCAGCACAAAGCCCCGCAGATTCTCCAGGCTCTGGTTGCCCACATAGCAAACCCCGGCCACCGGGTCACCGTCCACAGAGCTCAGTGCCAGTACAGCAATGGATTTGGCACTGGGGATGAGCCAGGCAGCCAGGTGGAAGTACTGCGAATAGCTGGCAATGGCCTCATTGCCCCACTTCATGCCAGCTGCCAGGAACCAGGTGAGGGACAGGATGACCCACCAGATGGAGCTGGCCATACCGAAGAAGTAGAGGAGAAGGAAAACCACAGTGCAGAGAGCAGGGCCTGTGGTCTCATAATGGATGTGATGGTGCTCCGGGTTGCAAGCCACATTGGCATGCCCTGCCACCAGCCGCACGATGTAGCCCACGGAGACGAAGAGGTAGCAGGCAGAGAGGAAGATGATGGGGCGCTCAGGGTACTTGAAGCGCTCCATGTCAATGAGGAAGGTGGCCACAGTGGTTGAGGTGGAGAGGAAGCAGAGGATGGACCAGAGGCCGATCCAGAAGGTAGTGAAGGTCTTCTCGTCCTGGGTGAAGTAGGGCTGGTAGCAGGGGATGGCACAGTTGAGTACCTTCCCAGTCCTGATGCGGTTGTACAGTGGATGGGACTCCTTGGAGATGGGGATCAGGGGCGCTCTGCACTTGCAAGTCTGACCACAGTCCAGCCCTGAGAGGCGCTGCCCATCGAGTGGCGTCAGGTTTTTGGCCATGTCCTTGGCAGGGCGCGTGGGCTTCCCAAAGAAAGGCGGCAGGGTGGTGGCTTCCGTGTGGTTGTATCCCATGCAAAGAACCTCGGTGTCCCCCAGCACCGGCAGGCTGTCACAGCTCATCCTCTCGGGCCAGGCAAAGCCGTACTGCTGCATGATGGGCGAGCAGCCGGCCTTGGCCCGCTCGCAGACGGAGCGGCAGGGGGGCAGCGGCTTCGTATAGTCGGACAGGCAGATGGGGGTGTACATGCTGCAGAGGAAGAAGCGCAGGTCCGGGGAGCACTGGATCTCCACCAGCGGCCAAAACTGGTGCACCTCCAGCCCAGCCTCGTCCTGCGTGTCGTGGTTGAACTGGTTGGGCATGTAGGTGAGGTTGTAGCCGATGCCCTTGCACATCGGCACCGTGATCTCCTGGCACACCAGCGCCTTGGAGGCGGCGCGCCCCGCCGCCGGCAGCCCCAGCAGCAGCGGCAGCCCCAGCAGCAGCGGCAGCCCCCGGCCGCCCATCGCCGCCGCGCGTCCTACCGCCGCCGCATGTCCCGGGCACCTGCCGCCTCCGCGCCGGGAGCGGGGCCCCGCCGGCAGGAGAGCGGGATCCGGACCGCCGCCGCCGCCGCCACCTGCGCTCTGGGGCGGGCGGGCGCCCCCGCTCCGCGCCGCGCCCGCGCCCCGCCCCGGACCGCCCCGGACCGCCCCGGACCGCCCCGGACCGCCCCGGACCGCCCCGGACCGCCCCGGACCGCCCCGCCGCTGGCCCCGCCCCGCCGGGGCTCCCCGCGCCGCCCCCGCGCCGGGCAGCGAGCGGAGAGCCGCTCTGCCCCGGGCCCCGCGGCTGCCGGCGCTCGGAGTCCCGCGGCGGCCCGGGGACAGGCGGCGAACTGAGACGATGACGGTGCCACCAAACCGCCGACTGCTCCGCATCTGTGCATCGCCTTCCCCTCTTGCCCGCCGGCCCCTCCCGAGACCCGGCTACCCCGGCTCGGCGCGAAGAGCCAAGCGGCTGGAGGAGGAGGGCAGGCGGTGCCCGCGGCGCTGCTGCCGCTTCTCCTCTTCCTCCTCGAGCCCTTCAGCCCCTCTTCGCGGGCTTGGGACAAACGGGGGAAACCCTGGGTAGGGGAAGGGAAGACGTGAAGGGGTCCTGGCCGGCTTTGCCTTGCTCCGGCCCTGGCACATCAGCCCGGGTACAAGGGGCCCAGTAGCATCTACCGGCGCTTCCCGGTACGCTGAGCTCGGCGGGAAGAAAAGCCGCCCCTGCCCGGGTGCAGGCAGCTGCGCTACCACATTCCTGCCCCGGATTCCGGTCGCCATCCGCTCCGGCCAGCCCTTTTCTTCCCTCCCAGGCGGGTGGCAGGCGCTGCAGCCACCGATGAGACCGTGCTGTGGCAGAGGGCTCTGCCCAGCACCCTGGGACCGCGGGGTCCTGCCATAGCCACCGAGGTGGTCATGCTCAGCTGCCACGAATTCCAACCCTCCAGTCCATGCATTCGTAAACACCGAATTGCCAGGCTAATTTTCAAGCGTTTCCCTGAAAGTCCTGAAGCCCAGGGCATGTTCAGGGAACACAGAGGAACAGACCCGCTTCAGAAGCCAGATTTGGGGGTCCAGACAGCAGCTGCTCCAGCAGAGCCTTATTCCGATCAAGGCAGAAGGCTGCTCTCAAGCCCTTGCACAGGAGCTACTCGCTCCATCTCAGTGGATGTGGATAGAAGGACAATTTAGACCAGAGTACTTGCACCCAGCCCTGGATCTACTACTCAAGACATACCCACAGCACATCACAGATACAAATAGCTTGCATTCAAGGCCTGGTGCTGGGGAACACCAGCACCCAAAATACCCCTTAACGGTACCCAGAGCCCACAAAGCAAATACTCGAAGCATGACTTAGTTCTTGCCTTCCTCCCACAAGTAAAACCTGGCTTGCTTACTGCTCTGAGGCCAGTGGCTGATGTAACCAGGGGCAGAGCACTGACTGCTGATAACCAAGGTCATCAGTCATTTTAAGGCGAGAGACCTCACGACCACCCCTGAAATCCACATCCACCCAGCTTAGGCATGCATATTACTTGGCACTGTCAAATTTGATGCTTAACAACGTTTTTTTTTAAAAAGGAAAAAATAATCTCACATCCTTATACTTCTTTGCTTTACACTGTAAGTTTTCCCTGTAATAGAGCTATATCGAAGAAAATTATAAGTCACATGTTCCTTTGGAAAATAGTGGCATATCCTTGTAGCAGGAGTCATAACTTTTAATGCTCCTTAACAATGAGTTTTTGTGAACTAGCAGCCCAGCAGAAAGCAATCACAGACAGTTTCATTATGGCTGTCAGTTGATTATCCAAATTACAGCTGAGAGAAGAGGGCAGCCTTTTTATTATCATCATTGCTGTACAATTAGAAAATGCTGATGAAGCTCCATAAGAGCAGAAATTGTCTTTTTTGTTGGCATTTTTCATTTTTATAAGCATTCTCCTGGGCAATGTCTTAGTTTGATTTGACACACAATGGGGAATGGGTACATAAGTGGGAAGAGAGAAGATAAGAAGGGGAAAATGGGGCAGCGCTTCATTTCAGTTAATCTGTCAACTCTTGTAGCCTGGTTCAGGTTTTGCCACTCCTCCAGATGTATCTAATTCTTAGAGCCTGGCTGTAAATAATGCTGTATCTGCTACACTGGGGACACATAAAATCCAATTAAGAGCCAGGTAAACATCTGTTGGCTTGCTCTGTGCTTCTGTTTCCTTTTCGTTTTTTTATGAATATGTAGCAGAACAACCAGAGCAAGATTAAATATGGGGTAAATGCAAGTGCAGTTGATAGGTTCGTTACTCATCTCTTCAGCACAGTATGAGAGTACAGTGCTTTATGTGCATCCAGCACTATTAGTAACAGAAGATATGTCTGCACAAAATTTACTGCAGACAAAAAGGAGATGTTTCCTGGCCCTAAGAAAATGCTTTTATAGTTAAAAAACTCTTAAATTATTAAAAATCACTTTACCTTTTATCCATGTGCAGAAGTGTCCATGAAGCTCCACCATGCTAAACAGGTCTTCTTGGGAGCTCATCTAACCCCTGCTCCTGGCTCCAGCCTAGAGGATTCAGGCATGGATTGACGAAACGTGTCCTTACAGACATACCTTCCACCTACTGAGGCATTTTCAGCTGGGATGCAGTGGTTCCTGGTAGAAGCAGAAAGTAAAAAGATGATAAATATTTCTGTGTTTAGTTCTCTCACTGCTGACTGTCAGTGTATATTGTTTACCTGCACAACTTGCTTTTGTGAAGGATACCATGACTTTTAAAAGACTTTAGAAAAGGACTAAGTGAGTTTCCTTTGTAAAGACTGGCTATTGCCCTTGCCCTTGTTAAAGGACTCAGCAGACTTTTGCAAAGAGCTTTTCAGCCCAGGCTTTGGGCAGGGACAAAGCCAAAGAGCACTGATCTCACTCTTGGCTTTGCCGGCACCAAAGCAGGGCAGGAACCTCCTGCCCCTCTTGTCAGAGGATCAGCACATCACCCCTTGGCCCTCAACCCTTCTCGCTTGAAGCAGCAAATCCTGGTTTTGTCTGCACTGCTGACAAGTCTCCAGCTCCCAGGAAGGGAGCAGTGGAGGCCTAGCACAAGTGACTCTGGTCTCCCGGTGCTGGTGGGCAGCCTGCCAGTCACCCCAGCTGGAGGCTGTGCTGGCTCAGGCATTGCCCAAATTAGCAGTGACCCCTGATAACAAACTGCTTGAGTGAGGAGGCGCTGGGGACCATAAGGTGGTTTGCAGCAGCACAAGACTGTACCTTACTGCCTGTCATGAGTGCAGGGACAGGCATTCCTATTGGCATCACGGTGCAGCCCCCGGGCAGCACCAGCACAACAGACCACTGTGTGTGGTACAAAAGGCTATCAGTTTTTGCCCTACAGTGAGGACACAGCTGCATCTGCACCAAGGCAGGTGTGCTTCTGCTTCCACCCATGGCAAGTGTTTGCCGTCCCACCTGAGAGCTGCCTGTGCTGCAAACCCCAGCACCAAGACTGACCTCATGTAACAGCACCTGGAATGGGGGACTCCTAAATAAGACCAAGGTTCTTGCTGCACTGCAGGCAAGAGGGACCTGACAGGCAGAGAGACACAGGGACTCTTGGCCCTTTGCAAGCAGGCAGAGTGGAGTGAGAATTGCTGCCAGCATTTGCAGAGGGGCCCTGGCACACAAATCCTACTGAAGTGCAACAGCAGCAGGGGTGAACATTTCTCCTGTGCCCAGATGAAGTAAAGGCTGTGGCCTGGGGAAAGGAATTCAGATTTAAATCACTTGAATGCTTTTCACCATGCCTTACTGAAATTCCCTTCAAAATCCTAGCTTACATCAATACAATTTGTTTTTATATATACCTGTGCAATTACACACCTTAACATATTGCAGGAAAACAAAACCATGCCAAACTGTAGCCATACCCAGAAAGTTAAATAGAATTTGAAACCTTCTAACTGAATGAACCCAAAACTTGATTTCTAACAGTGACACAGACTTTAGCAACACCTAACAAGTGCTGCAGTTTGTAAAATGCCACCAAAAGTTCAGGTAAGTAAGACCAAAGTAAAATCAGGAAGAGTGGCTGCACATAAAACTAATCTTGCCAAACTCATAACTTATTAATTAACTATATTTGTACATATGAGTGCACACAAAATGTATGTAATAAGCTTTCTCTGGTCTCCCCAGGCACTCTTGCCATGAGCCACAGTTGGAATACTGAAGGGATGTTCCTGTCCTGAGGTGCCATTAGCCGCAGCATGCAGAGGCAGGATCAGGGCCCTGGCCCAGAGCTGCAGGAGGGTTGGTGGTGATGAGGATGGGCCTCTGCCATGCCACAGCCATGGCTGGTCTTCATATCTCCTTGCTGTGACTCACAACACTGAGATAAAGAGGAAGCAGTGAAGTTCCTTACATCTAATTTTCTTGGGGGGTATAGTGCAGCCTGAAACATCTGAAACTTATCAGACATGTAGTTTTTGAAACACAGCACATTATGCTTTTTCTTTTCTTTTTCTCTCAAAAGAAAACAGTCTCCATAGTGAAGTTGACATGATAAATTAGTATGGCCCTGGCAAAGCCCTCACTCTTCATTTGGCAAATACTTATTTATGGACTTTCAATTTGTGGCTTATGTAACAACAGGGTGAGTGACTTTCAAAAAAGCTCTGCCATGTATTGACCTGATACACCCTAATGGGTCCTTCAGAGCAATTAGGATTTATTGTGTTAGCGTCTATTGTGTATCCAGACCATTTTAAAAACATGTGTTATTTACCCAGAAAGCAGTAATGACTGTTTAAATACAGTGAGATTGTTTCTTAAACTCTTGCTGCACTATACATTGCAAAGAAGTTACTCCAAATATTTTTCAGAGTTAAATACTTTGCTCCATTGGGATTTCCAAGCTGGATTATTGTATGGCGTATATATTTGTATGCCTATAGCTGTAAGTGAACGGAGCTCTCAGGAAAGCTGCACAATGATCAGACTTGAAGCATGAAATCTGATATATTTTTCTGAACTAAGGGACCAGTGCTTGCCACTCTAGCAAATGACCAGCTCGGGCCTTTTCCTAACTTAGAGA